CCCCAAAACCCCAAAACCCCAGATTCACTTAAACGCAATATACAAGATTAGTAATTATTATTATTCAAATATAAAGAATTTAATGAAACTAATAATGAAAGGTACAGTTATGATAAGTTGCTTGCTATTAGCACTGCTATCAACTTCAGTTACCAGTTAAGAACAATATGAACTTGTTGAGAAGAAATTCCAAAAGTCGAAGTTAAAGGCTCCAGCTAGAGTTAAAGCTAACAAATGCTTCTGCCTCTTGGACGATGGTTTGAATTCAATTTGTCTCGATGATACTATATCTGTTAAAGCTGGTTGGGAATTCACCCAAGAATACTCAATTTACAATGGAGTTCCTGCTTCAGGTACTGGAACAGTATCATAATACTACTACAAATTGAGAGCATAACCCTATATATCAGTTGATGCAGTCATCCATCCCTATTTAATCATCGACAAGCTTTACACTAATGAAATAACAGCTGATTTAGACAGTTTTAAGGCTTATGTTTTCGGTGAGCTTCTCTATTTCTAGGACCACAGCATTTGTTTAAATGCTGGTTGGGCCACTGACAAGATCCTCTTTACTCTCCAAATGGCTATGTCATTCAGAGATTGTTACAAGACAGTCATCAACACTTTATTCAACTTTGATAATTGGGTAGGACCAAGTGCTAAATGGATTGACTCTTGCGATAAGAGTAATGATGAAGATCTTACACTCTATTCATGGAATCCAATTACTGCTGCGAAAGTAAATCAATACTGGTTTGGTGATGGCACATTGAAAACTAGTGGATGTTTCCCAGGAAATCTATTTAAAGACTCATTTGGAGGTCAAGCTTTAAATAATTTGATCGTCTATGTCTTCGCTCAATTTATGAATTTCGAGAAAGTAGAAGAATGATTAGATAATAGCTGAAAGGTTTAAAGCATTTTATGTTTGTTTCAATCTCTAAATCTACTGAAAAATAATAATGTTTGCTAGCTATTTATAATTATAAATAATCATTTGAACTATAGCTATCAAATAAACACTTAAGGGGTTTTGGGGTTTTGGGGTTTTGGGGT